CCCATAGCTCCCGCTCCCACTTTTGCCCAGGGAAGTTCTCCATCTGAGGGCTATGACTGCTTGAGTGAGTGTTCAGTAGAAAAAGGGGTCTTGAGTGAAGAGTTTCCTCAATGTGCTCTGTGTTCCCTTCCTTTCTTTCTTTCTTTCTTTCCCTTTCTTCCTCCTTCCTTTCTTCCTCCTTCCTTTCTTCCTCCTTCCTTTCTTCCTCCTTCCTTTCTTCCTCCTTCCTTTCTTCCTCCTTCCTTTCTTCCTCCTTCCTTTCTTCCTCCTTCCTTTCTTCCTCCTTCCTTTCTTCCTCCTTCCTTTCTTCCTCCTTCCTTTCTTCCTCCTTCCTTTCTTCCTCCTTCCTTTCTTCCTCCTTCCTTTCTTCCTCCTTCCTTTCTTCCTCCTTCCTTTCTTCCTCCTTCCTTTCTTCCTCCTTCCTTTCTTCCTCCTTCCTTTCTTCCTCCTTCCTTTCTTCCTCCTTCCTTTCTTCCTCCTTCCTTTCTTCCTCCTTCCTTTCTTCCTCCTTCCTTTCTTCCTCCTTCCTTTCTTCCTCCTTCCTTTCTTCCTCCTTCCTTTCTTCCTCCTTCCTTTCTTCCTCCTTCCTTTCTTCCTCCTTCCTTTCTTCCTCCTTCCTTTCTTCCTCCTTCCTTTCTTCCTCCTTCCTTCCTTCCTTCCTTCCTTCCTTCCTTCCTTCCTTCCTTCCTTCCTTCCTTCCTTCCTTCCTTTTTCTAGCAGAGGACGCACTTCTGCCAGTTGAGCAGCACTTTCTTGGGTTAATCAAGAGGTGTTTTTAACAGGATGCCTGTGGAAGCCTTTTCCTGAGGGCACTTACTGTAAATTGGGGGCAATCACTTTTTGCAATGGCTCTGCACACCCAGCACAGCCTCATCCCCTTCCACAGCTCTGTAGGGGGCCTGCTTCAACATCAAACTCTTCCAGAAAACCCAGCACAACCAGTGGGTACTAACTGAACATCTTTGCTTAGGGCCTCCAGAGGCACAGTTCAAATCCCCAAAATACAGCCATTCCTTTCTAACGGCTTCATTAAGTCTCCTGAACTTGAGATAAGATGAAGAGACTGACAGAGACCTTACAGAAAACATTTGAAGAACACCAGCCATTTCTTAAAATAATAAATTGTAAAGATACGTGTTTGTAATTGTCAGTCACATTTTTTCTGAAGGTGTTAGCTAGGCAACCAGCTATGTTCTCTATATATTCTCTGCAGATCTGGAGGCTGTATGTGGAGAAAGCTTGCCATGATTATGCAATGAAAATAGAAGGGGGAGTAAAAAAGAACTTGCTGCATGTAAAAACATGCCTACATCATCCGGAGCAGAGATGGCTGTGGGATTAAAGGGGTCCTCCTACTTTATAGATATTATTAATAGCTTCAGAGGAGTGTAAGCAGCAAAGTGATAATTGTAGTAAGACGTATCCTTGCTGTTACAGTTTTTTGGAATTAATCAGTGAGATCTGTTTTTTTTTTTCACTGGGAAGGAAAAGGATCTTGAATTAGAGGAAGTGTCAAGTGAACTGCTCTTATTCAGGACTGACATAATGTTTTATTCTATGACCTTGAATCTGTTATCCAGGGTCAGATCCTGACACCCTCATGCTCTGAAGCAGAGAAATAACTGCTTATGTCCTAAGGGCACCCAGATCTTGCCCATAATTTCAATGATCCTGTTTCTCTCTCTGCACTTGGGCTAGCATTAAGTGTTCTGGTTGAAAAGTGGTGTTTGACTATGAAAGAAGAAAAAAAATGAATTTTAAGAAGAGGCAGCCTTCTCAGCATCTATCTTTAAGGTCTGTTTCTAGGCACAGCAACTGCCAGGATATGTGCAACCTGTAATTTGTTGGATAAATGCTTTTATATTTGGATTCATTGCCTAGTTACTTAACTTTCTTCCTCCAGTTACACAACAGTGATGAGTTTATTTTGTTAGAAATATACATACTCATGGCAGAGAGTAAGGCAAGGCAAATTCTGGCTTGTGAAATTCCAACTGTTCAATTTATAGCAGTTTTCCAAATATGTCAAAGTGTAAGACATTCAAGGGTCAAAGAAAGCTGCTCTGTTTAGTACAACAATTTTCTGAAGATTCAGGATTTAGCACGGCTATGGCAGAACATTGTTTCATCTTGTAAAAAGTGAGTAACCTTGCTTATGTGTGTATTTTTAAACAAAAAAATTTATTCTTGCATCAGTAAAATTACTCACACATAGATGATCTATGAAATAATTGCCCTTGTAATGGCCCAAGAAGCCCATTAACTTCCTTATTCTTCTTTGGAGTTCTGTGATATGATATTACATAGAATTATTTTTGGTAGGAGATACTTTTATGAAGAGTGGTATTTTATTAATACAGTGGTTTTATAATAACATGAAAAACTGGCAATAGCTACATGTTATTGCTCTGATTTTCTAAATGTCATGGGATCCATGGTTATGATGACAGAGGCAATCCAAGTTCACCACTAAGTTCTCTGCTTGTGAGTTCTATGGACTGTAAATTGACAAGTGTAAGCAAAAACACACTCAAAAAGGAAGAACATTTCAGTGAGTTCTGAACTCAGAGGTGGGACCTAAGACTTCCCAAAGGCAAAACTACCTATTGAAATAATGTTAAGGTTTGGCAGAGAGGGAAGTAGGCAATACATGTAGCCTGCTTCCTCAGAGCGTTTTTGAATATCCTTGAATATTTTGAATAACTGTGTCAGTGAAGGAGATCATCTGCTGAAACAC